AAAAAAAAAAAAAAGCAAAGATCCAACATCGACATCTACCTTTTTGAATCTGTCCCTATTTTCAGCCCAGATTCTTCTATTCTTAGTCTCTTCTTGAAAACTTTACCTGCATAGTAGTGTGCATGACCAATGTGGTTAGTTTTACTGAGAAGTCTGAGGCTACAGAACAAGAAGGATGGGAAGTTTTTGTCTTTGAGATAGGCTGTCCTCTCAATCTGGAAAATCCTCCTACTTTTTGAGTTTAACACCTGACTTCCACTTGGAAAGTCAAGCTTGCCTGCTTGGGAAAGATCAGGTTTGGGTGCCAGCAGAACCAAATCCTGGGGCTGAGAGGGCTTGGTTTATTATAGTCTCTGAAGCTTGGCCCACATATATGAGCAGAGGGATTCCCACCCTAGAGGGTTTTGTGAAGATTAGAGGCAATGTGTGTACATCACCTGGCACACAATAGATCCTAAGATTCACAGCAACAGCTGAGAAAAGGGGAGGGAGGTTTGCTGGTTGCTCAGTACCTTTTGTCCTGGGACTCTTACTCTCTTTGTGGAGGAGGGCAAGGGGTATAGGTCCAAGAGTGCATATGCTATGGGGCTGGAAGAACCCTGGATAGAGTGGGAGTGAGCTCAGTTCAGTCAAAATTGTGGGAACCTGATCTATTTCAAGGCTTGAAATTCACATAAGGGATGAAATCTGAGAGAGGATGAAAGAGTAAATACCCAGCCAGCAAAGCCAGTGCTGACGTTGGTAAAGGTGAGTCATGTCACCTCAGGTATGTTTTGGCCATAATAAAGGCATTCATGGAAGGGTGCTGAATGGGAATCTGACAATAAAGTTGATCACCCTTGTCCTCATTCTTCTTCCTCAGAGTGTCAGATTCAGCAATCTTCAAAGCTACCTGAAAGTAACTTCTAGCTCCAAATTCCTTTCTCTGACTCCCAGCAAACCTGCCCTCCCTCCAAATGTTCCACCTCTATACAAATAATATTCACTAGAGTCCTCTGAAGAAATTGCTATTTATGTCACATTACCATTCAGGAAAATAAAGAACATGCAGGTTATCAATCAATCACAGTATCAGAGTGATTGCTGCCGATTATAGCCTGGCTCCACACTCCACAATTATTTGCAGGCTAGTGAGTACCGAACATCTTCCTTTACTTAAAGAATAACCAGGCAGAGTGGCAAGAGTACTGCTCAGGGGTGGAATCTTGACTCTGACCTTATTAGAAAGTAAAGCGACTACAGACAGGCCACTCACCTTTTCCAGTCCTAGATTTGCGGTGTATGAAGGGGCACTGCTCATCTCCTCCCAGGGATCATTTTTAATGTGTAAAAGAAAATATTTGAAAGTACTGTGTGGACATAGGATTTTGTTTAGACCACAAATAGGTGTTTTTATTTCCATTCCAATCCGTGTATCTGCTGAGCAAAATAAGCTGGTGTTGACAGTGCCATCCTGGACATTGTCAAAAGCTTACCTGTAGCGACTTCTCTTCAGTTAAAGCTGTGTTGGGGGAAAGTTCCAAGGTCTATGTCAGGTCAGTTCTGGAAAAAAACAAGGAGGGTGGCGAGGGTAGAGAAGCAAAACTAACAAAGCAGATTACAAAGCAGTCCATGTTAGGCTTGAGACACTGGTCACTGGCTCTTCGATTTCAGATTGGACTAATTTCCAGGAATCTTATAGCTGGTAGAAGACAGCAGCTGTTTTTCTCCCAAACTACTCAAGGCTCATTTTTGAAATGATGATCTTTATAGCTGGACAAGGAAGTCATCAGTCTTACCAAAGACACCACTTTTGCCCTATTACTCTACAGAAAAGTCTCCAGTGATTATCCATTAACTAGAAATACATGCTTCGGTGTGATTTAGACTCCACCCCCATGCACTACTACCAGCCCCGCCTTATTTATCCCTCTGCTTCCCATAAAGCCAGAATACTAGCCAGTTTGGTTCCCTCCAAGCCCCGTAAATAACTGCTCCTTTCTGATAAGGGCTTTTGCTCACTCTCTTCTTCTGCCTCGAAGCCATGAGTTTCTCTGCCTTCTCCCTATTTTTCACGTGTGATCTTAATCCTACCTGAATCTTAAGGTCCAGCTTATATTTTTCTTCCATGAAGTCTTGCCCAGGTACAGGTCTCCCCTGCAGATCCTCTTTCCAGCAGGTCTGTCACAGGCACATCCTCATTTCAGCCCAGCCCTAGAGACAGTTTAGGTCATTTCTGGGGGCAAGGGCCTGTCCTGAGCAGCACTCTGCTCTTTCTCTGTGGATGTGAGAAAAGTGGGTGCATGTGCCCGTCACAAGCCACCACTTACTATTTCACGAGGGCTGTGTCCAGCAGGTGAGGAAGGACTCAGAACCACATGGCTCTGGCCTTTGAGCCAGGCTCACCCAGCTGTTTTGTAAGGGGTGACAGTGGCGCTAAATGTTTGTGGGAGTAAAACAGTCACCTTGAAGCCATTCCACCTGAGAACTCTCCTGGAGAGAACCCCAACTTGAACCCCTTTCTCTCTGGCCTTCATGATAAAGGAAAAGAGGGAAAGAGACTCCGACTCCGACACTAACACAGCAGCATATGTGCCAGGCGCCATGCCAAGTGCCAGAAGAGAATGATCTCACTGCGTTCTTTCAAGGACCCGATGAGGTTAGGACTACTCTAATCTCCAGCCACAGCTGAGAAAACACAAACTCAGAGTAAAAAAAAACTTGTATAATGTCCGAATAAATAGCGAAGTGTTATTTGAACCCAGTTGTCTCAGAGTACAAGGCCTGTTTGTTTTGTTTTTAGTTTAGTCGACACCAGTGGTTCTCAGAGTATGATGCCCAGAGCAGTAGTATCAGCGTTTCCTGGAAACTTGTTAGAAATGTAGGTTCTTGGGCCCCACCCAAGTCCTGCTGAATCAGAAACTCCTACTGACAGTGATCTGGGCTGTTACAAGTCCTGGTGGTGCGTGTTCAAGTTTGAATACTACTATTCTGAGCTAAACCTCCCACAAGAAGATCCCTTATAACTTGGCCTAGAAACCATATTGACATAGGAACATTCTAAGATGTTGGTTATGTGTGGACCCCTGACCACGCCAGAGTCCACCTGACTTTCTGTGCCACCTAGTTCCTCATCAAGGCAGACCTGGAGCTGCAAGTATATTTGTAGCTTTGGAGGCTGGGGAGAAGGAGTTTTAAAAAGGAGAAAAGAAAAAACCTTAATTTCTTCAAGTTTTCTTCATAAAATTTGTCACAATCTGATCATTTTTATTTATGTTGTCATGCTTATGTCTACAACCTGTACTGCCAGTTTCTACTGTTGATGTATTCTTGGTCATCCATTCCATTATTTATTCAACAAACATCTGTTGGGTGCCAAGGAGGTGACAGTGCAGGATGAGGTGCTCGTGCTTAAACGATGCGTCAGAGACAAACTCAGCCTGCTCAGAGCCTGCACTTAACTGGCCATCACCAAGGCATGTGAAAAGTGTTGCCTGGGGGTAGGAAGAGGCACTTTAGGAAAACACACAGGGCCCCTTTCCCAGGTTTGCAGTCAGGGAAGGCTTCTTCTTCTTCTTTTTTTTTTTAACACTTATTTTTGAGAGAGAGAGAGAGAGAGAGAGAGAGAGAGAGACAGAGCATGAGCAGGGGAGGGGCAGAGAGAGAGAGGGAGACACAGAATCCTTCCTTGGGGAAGTGGGGAAACATTTTAAGAAAAGTGACATGAGAAAATGTATGCATGTATTAGCAGGCTCAGGCCAGTACCTATACAGCCTTCTTTTCATACAGTTTCTGTATTGTTGCTGGACGGATGAGACCCTCGCAAGTCATCCTTGCTCTGTCCTCCACCTCGCCCAGAGTGTCTGCAGTCTCTGCCTCTGACTCTGCCTGTGAGCCCCCATCTAGTCAGACAGTGTGTTCACTTATTTGCATGGCTTTTATCACTCCATGAACAGAAGTAGGTCACCTCTCAGAGACATAGTATGCCTTCAGTGTTTTCTCCTGCTCTTGGATGCAGGGTGCCTGTCCTTGCTGGTGACCGTCCAGCACACGGAGCGCTATGTCACCCTGTTTGCCTCTGTCATCCTCAAATGTGACTACACCACCTCCGCCCAGCTCCAGGATGTGGTAGTGACGTGGCGCTTCAAGTCCTTCTGCAAGGACCCTATCTTTGACTACTACTCTGCATGTGAGTGCCCTCCCCCCTCTGCCCAGGCCCCTCTGTGAAGCATTGCCATGAAGGCATAGGAATTATTTAGGATCACAAATCCTTATGAGAAGCCACAAAGATCACTTAACGTGGCCCCCTCATTTGATAGATAAATGGCCCAGGCAGATGAACTAACTTATTCCTGGTCACATACTATTTTATTTTAAAATTTATGTCCTACCTTGTTCCTGAAAAGATTTAGGCAGCTCAGACATTAAGTTTTTTTTAAAAGGCAGCTCAAGTCCTGCCTCCCAGCCCATTTGGTTGCATGCCAGCACACTGAGATGAGTCTGCAGTCTGCCGCCATCACCTTCACCACCTTAGAATGTAGACAAGAAGCCTCCTACACCCTCCAGGACGCTGAGGAGTGGCCATTTGTGAACCTCCGCACACTGCCACACTCCCTTTTATGGTCAGCCTTCCTGGTGGCCGACTGAACCCTCCAAGTGAGCATGTGAGTGAGAGCTCACTGCCCCCAGGGAATACATTCTCAGGGCCGCACAATTCCCCCTACCTATGCTTAGCCACGTCCTACCTCACAGTAGTGGCTGCCCCACTCATGTCAGTTCTGTGCTCCGAAAGCAAAGCTCTTTCTAGCTGTCTACTTCTGCCTCTCTCAAGGAACAAAGGAATGCAGATCCTCACTGGCAGCCCTGGACAATTAACCTTGTAGAAATTTTTGAGAGTAGAAGTAGATGCCGTCTATAAGGAAGGAAGTGAGCTTCCTGAGATGAGGAAAAATGGGGGGAGGCCTGAGCTTTACCTCTGTCAGCCCTGACTTACAGTACATCTTACAGTATGAACCCCGATACCTAAATGTCTGAGTCACTGACAGAACCTGGCCTCGTTCCCAAAAGACACATCTCTAAATCAAGGCATGATTTTCAGGGGGTTACTCTTCAAATAAAGGGCCAGGGAAAAGAGACCAGGGTGGTAGGCATTTGCCACCAGAAAATGCATTGTAAGGGCAGGTAGATGAACCCTGTGGGGGCAGAATCTGGGGTTACCAAAAATGAAGTAAGGGTAGTTGGGATGGGAAATGGGGGCATGCAGCCAGGATTTAGAAATGATGGCCTTTTAGAGGGGTCTGGGTCTTGCTGCTCAAAAGTTCATTAGTATCACCTGGGAGTTCATTAGAAATGCAGACTCTCAGATTCTCACTCTGGACCCGCAGACTCAGAATCTTCATGTTTAGTAAGATTCCCAGTAGATGCATGAGCTCAGGAAAAATTGAGAAGCTTCCCTGCTCCAGGGAACACTAAAGGTGCCTTTCTTCATGGGAATTCCCCCTGCTGTGTGACTTAGCTGTGTCCCCTTTTCTCAGCTTACCAGGCAGCTTTATCCCTGGGCCAGGACCCCTCCAATGACTGCAATGACAGCCAGCGGGAGGTTCGCATCGTGGCTCAGAGGCGGGGGCAGAATGAGCCCGTGCTGGGGGTGGATTACCGGCAGCGCAAGATCACCATCCAGAACCGTGAGTGCAGGGGAGGCAGCAGGGAAATGGGGGTGGTGGACACCAGGCCTGACAGGCTGAGTCATTGTGGGGATTCCCCCCACTTTTTTTTTTCCATTTGTTTGTTTGAGGAAATTGCCAGATACATAGAATGCTGTACCACCATCTGAAGTCACTCCCCTGGAAGTTGGTGTCTGGATGAGAAGATGTCCTACAGCTTTGGCTAAAGGTCTGGGAGCGGGTGGTTTCTTTTGCTTTTTCATGGCTAAGGTGTGGATCAGTCTTGTTTCCTCCCTCCCATAAATTGCCCTCAGGGCCTGTGTGAACCCCAGGGCCCTGAGTTTCCCTCTGACCACTCCTGTTGTATATATCTAAGGGGCTTTCAAGTAGGTGACCACCTTGACACCATCATCACCCATTGGTAGAGGAAAGAGCGTTAGGCTTCATTGACCAAGAGCATTAGTTCATTGACCAGCAGCAGATTTTTTTTCTCTGGCGTCTGTTACCTCATCTGAAAGATGGACATAATAGGCTCTGTCTCCCTACACTGAAGTAAGTATCAAACGTGGTATCTGAAAGCTATGTCTAAAGCATGTTTATTCTTTATGCCTAGTACACGGAGTGGTGGTTAGAACCCTCAGTCTGCAGTCAGATTCTGGTGTGGGTCCCCATTCTGCACTTATAGGGTATGTGAACTTGGGTAAGTCCCTTCGATTTTTTTCTACAAAATGGGACTTGCCATAGTACTCCCCATCTCGTGGAGATTTGTCAGGATTAAGTGAACTGATATACATAAAGCACTTAGCAAATATTAAGTGTGCAGTGAACTTTAGTTACCATCACTGAGCACGCTTTTGGATGGAGGGTTAGCCCTACATTCCTACCTTGTAATCCAGGATTGCCATGATGGGTTATTGGCACATAATTCAGAGCCTATTTCAGTGAGCTTCATGTGCAGTGTTAAATAAATATTTGCTGCTTAAAAGGGGAAAAATGGTAGAGAATACACTAAGCAGGCCACTCAGGGTACCTGTGGCAACAATGTGAGGAAATCAGTGAATATTTCATGACCATTTAAAGGTAGATCATTTAAAGGGAGCCAATTTAATATTTGCTTCCAGATTGGTGTCTAATACTTTAGCTGTAATATTTAAACCTGATCCTTTTACGTGCAATCTCTGCTTTCCCCAAGCCAGCCCTTAAACTCTTAGCTTTAGTGAACATCTGTCCTATTCTGGTCTCTAGGTACATTCTCAAAGATTCAGGGTGGTTCTGTTTTTCCCAGAACCTGCAAAATGAGCCCTGATCTGACTCCAAAATGTAAAGTCTCTTTTGGCAAGTCTCATTTAGTTTTTGAAGGATAATATTCCCCAGAGGTGACAAGGTGACAGACAGTCCTTGCTTTTCTCTCTCTCTCTCTCTTTCTATCTATCTATCTATCTATCTATCTATCTATCTATCTATCTAATTTTGAACAATAGTATCCACTATTTCCACTCCCAGTCACTTTTGGATCAAACTTTGCTTCTTCCTTCATGGAAAACCATTATTTCCCCCTTGGTTTTTAATTCTACCTCCATGCTTGTTGTGACTTCCTAGAACCCTTGTTTTCTGACACTTCTTTGCCCTGTGCTTGCGTCATTTGAAAAGACCCTGTCAAATCAGTTCTTGGATCATTTAAAATATAAACATATCCAGGGGTGCCTGGGTGACTCAGTTGGTTGAGTGTCCAACTTCAGCTCAGGTCACAGTCTCACAGCTCATGAGTTTGAGCCCGCATTACTCAGAGCCTGGAGCCTGCTTTGAAATCTAGGTCTCTGTCTCTCTCTGCCCCTCCCCCACTCATGCTCTGTTTCTCTCTCTCAAAAATAAATAAACATAAAGAAATTTAAATATTAACATATCTGAATGTCCTCATTACTGTGACATCCCTGAAAAACATGTTTATGTTTCTAATAAAAACTGGGGCAGACCTATGATACACATTAACTTAGAGGGAGAACCTCCTCCAAAACACTTTCCCTATTCTTCCAAGTCTAGGGGAAGCTCTTTCTGGGAAAGGTAGTGTGTTTGGAAAATCATGGGCAGGAAAATATTGTAGAGATTGACGTAGAAAGAGAAGGAAACAAAAGTTGAAGTTAGCTCCAGTGGTGCGTGACCTTGCATTTCTGTTTCATTTCCTCAATAAATATTTTTTGACAAACAGATAATGGAGAATTGTAAATATGACTGCCAGCTAAGCAGGAGCAAGTCCATAATGCGAAGGGTTTTTTTGTTTTGTTTTTGGTTTTTTGGGTTTTTTTTTTTAAAGAATTTGAAGATGTCCCCTGGCACTTACTGTGGGTGAAATAGCAGGAATGTGGAAGCTGCCTGGATCCTCTGACTGGACTTTAAGCCCTGTTAGGACAGAGAAGTCTGGTTCCTCTGCAGATCTTCCCAGTGTCTGACTCAGTGCTGGACCCACAAAAGGTCTTTAGTGAAGATTTGTTGCATTTACTAAACTTGAACATACCATTCATCTATCTTAAGTAGCACAGCGCTTGGTGCTCATGAGAACTGAAAATCCTTTCTTGAGCATTGAATAACATTTACCCTTAAAATAGTGGCATTTCATCCTTACTTATTCAATTCATCTCATAACCCATCTCATAACCCATCCCTTCAAGATCCAGATTCATAGCCAGTGAGGGATCCAGGCTGTGGAGTTTTCTACCCACTTTGGAGAGGACATTAGAACTTAGTGGTTAACAGCACCAGCTTTGCAACAGAGAGACATGGATGTGAACCTACTTATGCTAAGCATTATTTCTCTGTTCTTAGGCTAGTTTCTTAGCCTCCTGGAGTCTTGGTTTCTTCATCTGAAATACAGCCAATCATAGTTAGTGTATCAGGATTGTGTAGAGTTTGATTATGAATAAGCAAAAGCTCCAAATATTAGTGACTTAATAAAGAAGTTTTTTTCTTCTCATGTATAAATTTGGAGGTAGATAGTCCAAAACTAGTGTGGTGCCTCTGTTCCATTAAGTCCTCAGGAATGGTCCCCAGCTCCAGCTCACCAAGAAAGTCTTTTTCTCCCCCATGGTCCAAGATGGCAGTCATCACATGTGCTTGACTGATAACAGTATAAAAGAAAAGATGAAGAAAAGGACAAAGATGTTCCCCAACTGTTTTAAGAAAGTTCCTGGGAGCCATCTTGTGACACTTCTGCTTACATTCTATCCACCAGAACTGAGTCACATGTTCATGTCCACCTGTAAGAGGTGACAGGAAGTAGTTACCTTATTCTAGATGGCCATGTACATGACCAAAAATTATAAGACTGAGAGAAAAAGGGAGAAGAGACCCTGGGTGACAGTGTAATGTCACCTCACCCGCTGTGAGCTGTGGTGGGAATTAAATGAGGTGATGTCCAAAATCCTTTCAAGGCACCTGGTAGGGTTCAATGACTGTTTGGAGAAATAGGATGGTCTCAGAAAAAAGACAGAACTATGAGGGGGGCCCTAAGGATGTGGAAGGACAGTGCTGAGTCCTAAGCCATAGGTCAGATACCAGGGCCCTCTCCTTTAACACCTGGTACTTTCTCCCTCCTCCCTGCAGGAGCAGACCTTGTGATTAATGAAGTGATGTGGTGGGACCATGGAGTGTATTATTGCACCATTGAGGCTCCAGGGGACACATCAGGAGACCCAGATAAGGAGGTGAAGCTCATTGTTCTGCGTAAGTGCTGTTGGAGCTTTCTATTTAGCCACCTCATTGCTGTGACACTTTTACATACAGCACAGAAACAAGCAAGCCCAGGTTATTGTTGGATTGCCAACCTCTGAAGGTCCCTTACCAAAACTAAACTTTATTTTTTTTCTTTTCCTTTTCCTTTCCTTTCCTTGTCTTTTTTTTTTTTTTTTTTTTTTTTTTTTTTTTTTTTTTTTTTTTTTTTTTTTTTGCTGGTATATTGGTCAAGCTTAACCTATAGGTCAAGAGCTATATTTATTAGACCTCTAGAATGTTAGACCTGGAAGCATTCACCTGCATATTTGGTTAGCTTCCTCTTGGTGTCTCCCTGCAGACTGGCTGACAGTGATCTTCATCATTCTGGGAGCCCTCCTCCTGCTCCTGCTGATTGGAGTGTGCTGGTGTCAGTGCTGTCCTCAGTATTGCTGCTGCTACATCCGCTGCCCCTGCTGTCCTGCCCGTTGCTGCTGCCCCGAGGAAGGTGAGAGAGGACAGAGGGGCAGTGGGATGGGGTGATGCTGGAGCCTGGTATCCCAAATACATGAGCTTCACACACACAGATCAAAACCTTGGGTCCTTCCAGGTTCTCCACCATGCCCTTCTCCCCTCACAGGCTCAGAGGTCTTTGACCCCAGCACAGAATATAATGCTAGAGAAAGCTTTAGACCCAAGTGGGAAGATTTCTGTCTCTCCACATCCGAGCCTGCCTGAGGCCTCCTTCCAATGGTTCTGCCTATTGATGGCATTTCCTCAGTGGCCCTGAAATGCCTGTGCTTCAGTATTTGCTCCTAGTTCTCACCTTGCTTGGACAGGGAGTGGCTAGAGCAAGTGGTTTGAATGTAGCAGTGAGAGAGAAGGCCACCCCTTAGAGAGGACTTGAAATGAACAGATAGAGGAGAAAGGAGTTAAAGCAGTGATTCTTAAACTTAAGAATCACCTAGAGGGCTTGTTAAAACTTAGTTGCTGGCTCTACGTCCAGAGTTTCTGGTTTAATTGGTTTGGGGTAGCCCGACAATTTGTATTCCTCAAAAGTTCCCAAGTGATGTGATGCTGCTGAGCTGTGGGCCACACTTTGAATATCTCTTTTTAGATAAAGGAAAGAGGTTTAGATGAAGGAGAGAGGGAACGGAAGATCTTGCTCTTAATGTGATCTTTCTTTGGGCTAAAATTTGACTTTTTATTTTTTTCAAATGTTTATTTATTTTTGAGAGAGAGAGAGCGACAGAGCATGAGCAGGGGAGGGGCAGAGAAAGAGGGAGACAGAATCTGAAGCAGGCTTCAGACTCTGAGCTGTCAGCATAGAGTCCGATGCAGGGCTCGAACTCATGAACTGTGAGATCATGTCCTAAGCTGAAGTCAGGCACTTAACTGACTGAGCCACCCAGGTGCCCCTAAAATTTGACATTTTAAACCAAATTTATGATATACCCTAAAAAATTTGTCTGTGGAATGCCAAATTTTTTAATAGAAAATTATTCTATAATGACTTCTTAATAAATAGATGGAGTGGAATCACCTGCTTTAAATGGTAGGAATTTTGCGTTCTTAAAATAACATTTTTTTCCCCTGATGATACAAGTAAGGTATGACATTGTAGAAAATTTGAGAAATTTGGGAAAGTGTAAACACTAAGCACTCAGAGATAATCACTTTTATCAGTTTGGTTCATTTGAGAGGAAATTTTTTAAAAGGAAATATAAGGAATTACCTCTTAAGATAGAAAAAAAACTTAATCTACAATGTCAAGAAGGCTAATGGCCTGAGTCTGGTTTCAGGTCTGTGTTCCGAGGTTTTTGTCTTATAGGAAAAGAGAACTAACTTTTTTTTGGATGTCTGCTATGCGTAAGCCCCTTCCATATATTTCCCTCTGTGAATCCTCACAACCCTAGAAGACTGTGTTATCACTGCTTAACAGATGAGGAGACTGAAGGTCAGAGAAGTCACACAGCTAGTAAGTAACAGTGGCAGTGTGGTGTTGAATCCATGTTCACCTGACGTATGAATGCCCGAATGTCACACAGTTGAGGCTGCCACAGCCTCTGTGTGTAGATCACAGTGGGCTTGGCAGAGAAACCAATGACCTCCTGAAAGAGAGGGAAAATAGCAGAGGACTCAGTACTGGGCTGTGGAACTCCCTACCTTTCAAGAGCCTCTGGGACAGATCCCAAGGAAAAATCACTATCACTGAAGTAGTAATATGTATGAAGAGATGAGAAAACTGCTCCCAAGATGCCTTCTTAGAATCCCTAAGTCAGTGGGGCACTAAAAACAGGCAGAACCGGGGACAAAGCCCACACAAATGATAAATGTATCCATGGTCAGTAAGCTGATAAGCACGTTTGGGGGAGAATGATTTCTCTTAAGTGGTTAGAGTTCATTTAGAAGAACTGGTAAAATAAAGAAATGCAGGCCACAAATAAAGGTCCCTGAACTTGAGCAAATGAGGTCACTTTCAGAGTGAGTCACTAAGGCAGACTGTCCTGAGAATTTTGATGACAAGAGGAGATTACATAGAGAGGATTGAAGTTGTTAAGGAGGGCTCTTGCATGGGGAAGGGTTTGTGTGTGTGACTGTTGGTTAGAATAAGAAAACCCCAAGTGTATTTGTAGGCAAAGAACCAAGGCCAGTAGGAAATGAGTAAAGTGAAGCCTTATTTTTTTAACGTATTTTTTTTTTTGAAAGAACACAAGTGGGGGAGGGGCAGTGAGAGAGGGAGACACAGAATCCAAAGCAGGCTCCAGGCTCTGAGCTGTCAGCACAGAGCCTAACGCAGGGCTTGAACCCACTAACCATGAGATTGTGACCTGAGCCTAAATCGGACGCTTAACCCACTGAGCTACCCAGGTGCCCACCCCTAAAGTGAAGCCTTATGAGGCAAGGCGATCACTGAGCAGGAGGAACAGTTGGGATTGACATCAGGTATACAGCAAAAGAACTACCTGTAGAAAGGAAGGGAAGGGCAGCCTGACCTCTGGAGAAAGGGGGGAAGTCATTAAAATGTGGGGGATGATCCAAAGTGTAAGGGAAGAAGCTGAGGGATCTCATACCAGCCTGTCTCAATTTCAGCAAATCAGAATTCTAGAGGCAGAACAGAGCTTGAGAATGACATCAGTGCTTCTTGACCTTCTCTGACCACAGCTCACCTCCCTAACTTGCTCCCGCTTTACAGTGAGTTAATAGAGGACCAGCGAGGAGAAAAAATGAAATGACACCAGATATTAGTAACTCTTGATATTTCACTTAGTACTGGTAAATGACCCACAGTAGAACTTAAAAGATGAAAGTGATTGAAACTGATCCCTACATCGGTTACTGGCCATCCTCCCCACAGGGCCTCTAGGCATCCTGTGTCGTAGGGCCACAGGCCACACTGGGAATCTCTGATCTACCCACCCACCTCCCCATTCTGCTTACAGCAGAAGGAAGTAAGGCCTAAAGAGACTTTTGCACAATTTCACACAGCTCGTTAGTGGCAGATCCTGGACTAGACATAGCTCTCTTGATTCCATGCCCAGGGCTGGTTCCTCTTCCTCAACCAAGATGATGTCATCAGCTGAAAGTTCATGGGGAGGGGAAGACATGAGAAGTGGGGACCATTTAAACTGCTGCTCTAGAGGAGGGAAGTGGGGTCTATAGATCAGTCAAGGGAAGCCAGTTGAGGAGGGCTACTTGAAGGCGGTTGTCTGACTGCAGTCAGCTCTGGCAGCATGGGGCCAGAAGCTAAAGCTGAAATGGTAAGAGTTCAAGTGCATGGGATTCTAGGGAGCTCCTCAGGATGTCACTGAAATGATTAGCCAGCCAAGTTACGGGGACTGGTGTATGGGAAAAAGTGAAAGGACTATGTGACCATGGTTCAAAAGAGGGTAAAGAAGGAGTTCTTTAAGAGTGGGGAATGGCTGGTAAGCAGTTACAGGCAAGTGCAGTTGGAAGGCTTCAAGGCACCACAGATGATCTTGACTGCAGGGAAGGAGAGGCAGGTGCTGTGTCATTTCTGTCACGGAAGAGATGTCTTAAAGAACATGCCCTGGGTTTTCCTCAGAAGTGAAGATAAATATGCCTTTGGTAGTTTAGGCTCCAAATGTATACAGATGTATACTTTTGTTTCCTATGGGATCTAAAGCAAAAAAAGTGACTTATTATAACAATGAGAGCCACTGTCTCTTGACTGTCTGTCATGTTGGGGCATTTCAAATGTATTGCTTCATTTAACCTCAACAACTTTATGAAATAGGTATTTCTATCCTTAGCTTACAGATGAGGAGCCTGGGCCCGCACACTCTGGAAGGTCACTCAAAATCAAACTCCTGGTATACGCTGGGATTCAGGTGGAAGTCCATTGACCCTCAAAGCTTGTATTTAAGGAAAAACCCTGAGGACCATAGTTCTCAGGAGATTCTTGAGAATCCTCAGTAGACAACTCTAGTTGAGCTTCCTGCACTTGAATTAGGGAGCTTGTTGAAAACACAGCTGCTGCTTGCTCTGTGTGAGACTGAAGGATATCTGGGAACAGGACCCAGTAATCTGTATTTTTAAGTAGCTCATTACAGTGATCAAGGCAGACTTTACTCCACTGAGGTTCAGAGATAACTTATTAGGAGTTTTTTGAGGCTTAGCTACTTTCTCCATGTCTCTTATTTTATTGCCCATCTGATTCCCCACTAGGTGAACAGAAAACCCTGACATCCCTAGGGGACAAGAGGGCATAGGAGAAGCTCAGAGGTTGTGTTTTCCACTCCCATCTCAACAGTTCCATTGCATCAGGGAAGGGAGGGGCCCTGGGGAAAAGGATGTGGCAGCTAAGAAGGGAGCAGGTGGGTTAATCTCTGAAGTATGGAAAATTTAACAGGAAAGCTCATGGAGGATCTGGAAGGGTCTCTAGGGAGTTATCTGTGCAGAGGGTCCCATTAGTTAAGTCATTTGGGGAGCAAGGAGTAAGCCCAACTTTCCCTTTCTCTACTGTTGAATTAAGAGAGTAGGAGAAGGAAGTGGCCAGGATTCATTTAGAGGGGTGGGGGGTGGATAGAGTTGTTCCCAATTGAGCCAGATGTCCCCAGGCCTTAGAGGCAGAGGCAGGTCTGGAGTGGGTTTTGAAAGGTATAGAGCTGAGTTGGAGAGTAATAAAGGGAGGAGGTACAATTGTGGAAGGTTTTTGTTTTTTGTTTTGTTTTTCATCACAGAAATAAAGGAGTCTGGGGACTCACTGATTTGACAGAAAGGACACAGGCCTGGGCATCAGAATGGCACCTCTGGCCATCACCAGCTATGGGACCTTGAACTGAGAAGTCAACCTCCCTGCACCCAGCTTCTTCATCTAATTCCCACATTAACAGATTGCTCTGAGGATTAGTTAGCCTATATAAAGTGACTGGCACATACGTATTAAGCAGGGCATTATGTGTGCTGATGGTAGCACATATAGGAAGCTAGGGGAGGCATCTGTTAGCAAGAGGGAGAGGAAAGTGCTGAAGCATGTGGGGGGTCTAGAGTGCTGTCCAGTGGCATGAAGGTGTGGCAGCTGGGTGAGCTTCTCTAAGTTTGCATCTGATTTCCTCCAGGCTGGGCTATGACGCACCACCAGGGCTGGAGCTCCGGACATTTCTGGAGGCTCTGCTGCAACCACTTCCTGTTGTGCTGGAAGTTTGTTTCACACTGGAGTCATTGGGTCCAGATGGCCACTTAGCTGTTGGCCTCAGCAAATCCCCGGCCCTTTGCAGTAGGGTCCAGAGTGCCTGTCTGCCCCTCTTACTGTGCCAGGAGGAAGCCTGAGGCAGAGCCCTGCTGCTTTAGAGGTGGCCACAGGCTTGAGGAACCCAGGAGGAGGTGAGAGTGCCAGCTGGGGGGCCTCAGGCAGGCACTTCCTGCCTGAACACACAAGTCCTTTTCCTACATGCATGGATGGACTGAGACCTTGGGACACAATCACCTTAAAATAGAAATTCATGAACAAACCAACTAAATGATTTTGTTTTTAATTTACACTCATGGGGGCAGAGAGGAGAGGATTGTGTCCTTCAGACTAGCTGCACTAGGGTATCAGAGTGACATTTCTATTGATCCCTCGTGCTTTTTTTATATGATTTTCTTTGCCCTGAAAGGAAATGGTATTTCCCTTCTCCCTTCTCTGCCTTCACTGCACCACTTAGAGATTCCCCCTACTTAGGATAAGGAGAAGAGTAGAAAGGATCCACTGGGATCTACTTCAGCTTTTTGCATCTCTTGCCTCCCTTCCACTAGTTTCTCCTCTCCACCCCCAGGGTTGCAGGGCTGTTGTACCAGCTAGAACATTCTTCAGTGTCCCTCACTTTACCAGTAATTCTGCCCATTGACCTCAGCATCTACATCCTTTTTTTTTTTTTTTTTTTTTTTTTTTTAGCTTTTTCCACTCTGAGTGGGCAGCCCTGAGCTTCCCTGGCAGTCCCTGACTCATAGCTGCCTTGAAGTCCTTTGCGTCTGCACCTTCTAGATTTGGCCCGTGGCTGAAGGCCTTGTTGGCCTGGGACCCAAGATTTCATTGCCTACTAATACCCACGTATCTACCTACATTTTAGGTGAAACTGGGAATGGCAGGACGATACAATATTTTCAAGACTAGGAAGTCAAGGTTATAGGTATGCTTTCCTTGGGAATAGGGTTTGCATCCTGTACCCCAGGAGTCCCAGCTCCTTGCAAGATGACCAATTAGTTACTATTCCCTTAACTTTCACTCCTATGTAAGATAGGTCAGAAATTGGCCTCTTAGCAAAGCCTCCTAGCAAGAAAAGTGAGGTGGGAGGTGTGGGGCTTGTCCTGGCTGAGGGTCCGCATTTCTCCTTTTTCCCCTCTAGCCCTGGCTCGCCACCGGTACATGAAGCAGGCTCAGGCCCTAGGCCCTCAGATGATGGAAAAACCCCTATACTGGGGGGCGGACAGGAGCTCCCAGGTTTCATCTTATCCAATGAACCTGCTGCTGCAGCGAGGTAAACCTTGCCAGAGATTTGGGGTGGGAGAAGGCAGAGGGTAAGGGTAGGAATATGGGCTGCATTGGGGCCTTCATGACAATATAGTGGATATCTATGATCAAGGGGACGGGATGGATGCAAGCTGAAAAATGTGGCATTTTGGTGCCATGGTTCTGAGAAGCCATGTTTTGGGCCGGCCATTCTGTATGTTCTTATCCTTGTTTCCATTCAGATTTGTCCCTGCGATCCAGCCTCCCACAGATGCCAATGAGCCAGACCACTGCTCACCCTCCCATCACCAATGGTGTCCTAGAGTATTTGGAGAAAGAGCTGCGGAACCTCAACCCAGCCCAGCCTCTGCCCCCTGACCTCAAAGCCATATCTGGCCAAGCCTGCAGCATGCTGTCCTCCCTGGGCTCTGAGGTTGTGGAACGCAGAATCATCCACCTGCCTCCACTGATCAGAGACCTGCCGTCCTCCCAGAGGACCAGCAACTCCTCCCACCAACAGTGGCTCACTCCAATTCCCCCTGGACCCTGGGATCTGAGGGAGGAGAGAAGGCAGCCCCACTACTCTGCTTTTCACCAGGAGCTCCAGGACGGGGAGCCTAAGCGCCGAGCATTGGAAGGACGGGAGCTGAACCAACTTCGGAGGGGAAGGCGCCACTGCTCTGGGCTGCGTGGGTTACCCATGCCCTGGGCAGACAGGGACAGCCTCAGTGACGGCCCCTCGTCCAGTGAGGCCTGCTGGTGGCCCAACCACCTATCTGCTCGGAGCCACTACTCAGGCCGACCTCACAGGCCTGGCCCCCGGGAGAATGCCCAGAGGCCCCGGAGGCGCAGGCCCCGCAGCTACTCCCCGCCCTTGCCTTCCGGCCTCAGTTCCTGGAGCTCTGAGGAGGATGAGAAGGAGAGGCAGTCCCGGAGCTGGGGAACCCACCGCCGCAGCTCACACCCCTCACACTGGCCTGAGGAGAAGCCACCCAGCTACCGCTCGCTGGATGTCATGCCAGGCAAGAATGGCAGGAAAAAAGGGAGTGTGGAGAGGCGCTCGGTGAGCCTGGGGCATCCTGCTGAGGGTCGGGCATGGGCGGAGCGGGGCTTGGCCACAGCTGGCAGAGGCCACCCCACGTGCCACAGTGAGAGTACCTCCTCCTTGTTTTGCACAGCTTGCCTCATGGGCTTGGTGAGACCTCGCTCGAAGGGGCCGGGTGAGTGCAGAGGGCCAGGAAGGGCTCGATGCTTGATGCTTAAAACAGGGCCTTCTCATCCTCAGACCAGCCTTCATCACAGTCTGGTGAGGCAGGGCTTCCCCATTTCACAGATTCAGAAATGAGGCTCAGAATAATTAAGTGCCTTGTGAGTAGTGGAGCTAAGACTTAAACACGGGCTTTATGGCTAAGGCTTTACTTCCTGTCATACCTGCCTGTCTTTACTTAGCAACCGTATTTCCATACCCCAAATTAGAACATGCAGCCTGACAGAGGACATTTGTGCCACTTCTGAGTGCTGCAAGTCAGGGTGCAAGGCCTTGTTGTATTCGAGGATGAGGTCCTCTGAGACCCCCTGGAAAGAATCCTTAAACTGATGAAAAAAAACCCCAAACCAAAACAATAAATACCTCATATCCCAAATATGGGTAAAACTTTAGGGTTCTGTGAACAGGCAAGGTGCTAGTCATAGCTTACCAGCCTAAAAGGGGCACAAAGAGGGATTATAGGCCTTAATTTGTTTTGTTTTTTTTTAATTAAAAAAACCTTGTTTTAATTTATTTTTGCGAGAGAGAGAGAGACAGAGCACAAGTGAGGGAAGGGCAGAGAGAGAGGGGAACACAGAATCCAAAGCAGGCTCCAGGCTCTGAGCTGTCAGCTCAGAGCCCAGTGTGGGGCTCCAATTCACAGACTGCAAGATCATGACCTGAGCTGAAGTCAGACACTTAACTGACTGAGCCACCCAGGTGCCCTGGCCTTAATTTGTTTTTTAAGATGTGACTTAAAAAATCATTTTATAATTAATATATCCAAATGATGATATTCCCTTAATGTTGTCAGTTTGCAAAGTTATGCTGCCATTGCTCAAAAATATTCACGAACTGCCTTCGGAACCAATTTACATGAAAATATATTTCTGTATTTGACCTAAATCCTCTTCTGTTTGCCTCTGTTGAGATAGAGATATCTCTGAGGGAAGTTCCCAGAATAGAAGATATCATAGGAAGAAGAATTTTAGTCTCTAATATACCTTCAAGGATACATCTGTCATTTGGAAATGCAAATACTGCTGTGATTTGTTTAAAAAACAATCACATGTATGTAGTGTGCAAAGAAACAGGGACGTTGTGGAAGCTATGGTGCTAGTCTTTCAGGAAAAGAGCCTTGGTGAGAGAGTAATTCATGAGGAAGGTCTGCAGGCACTTCTGAAATAATGGCAATTATATCATATTCTCACAGATGTCCCATGAGAGAGGCAAAGACCAGTAACAATGAAACTTACTAGTATCCTTACTAAGTGCTACCTAGCTATGGGCATTTATGCACCAATTTAATCCTTACAACACCCTGTGAGGTTTTTACTATTATTTTCATGTTACAGTGGATACAGCTCTTTCTTCCATGTTACCAGTAAGAAAATTATATCCTGAAAGAAAACCCGGAACCAGTTAGAGCTGGGACAACAGCTGTTACTTTAGTCATTAGTGACTAAACTGTCTCTTATTTTAACAGAAAAAAAAAAAAAAAGTGTAATGTAAAAGCCAGTGTTTGGCCCCAAATCCAAGCCCTGTTTTCTTCTAATTTTCTTTTTTTCATTTTCTTCTCTTTAAGTTCAATTATGTGGTTTCTTGTAAGTGAGAGAAGGGAAAAAGGAACATTAATTAAGTTCCAGACGCTGGGGTAAGCCCTTTCTAAACCTTATTTCACTTAATCTTTATAACATTAGGTGAGGCTCAGTGAGATTAAGTATCATGCCCTAAGTCACAAAGCCAGTAGGGAGTGAAACCAGAATTTGAACACAGACAGCTCTCTGACTCTCAAGCCTGTACCCTTTCAGTAACTCATAATGCCTCATTTGAAAGAAAGAAGAATCGTCTGGGGCAATGATGCTCTCCTTCTATATTTCTTCCTCAGACTTTATTTCTTCCCTATTTTCTGAAAGTATCACAGCTTCCTTTATCATTAAGATGTACACACCACTAATTCTAACACAGGCAAACCAAATTTTCTATTGCAAAGTTGCTCACAAGACCCAAAGATCTCACTAACGATCATTTTGAAAGCCTTCATTGTTTTGGATCTCTGAGCTTATCTCACAAAGAGTTATCAGTTTACTTTGTCACATTCAACTGTCTACTCATATTCTGAGTGACTAGAGGCCCAGGGCCAAAGCTGGCTTTAGAAAATTGATTGGTTTGAAAGGGCACAGTGTTTTGTTCATAGTTGGAATTTTTAATGCCTTTAGTGAAGCAAAAGTATCCAGGGCCAAAATCTCTTTGCATCTTTCCTCAGTGGGGCTGGTTGCTTCCCACACACTTTCCTAGCCTCTGAAGTCTTCAGAGTTTGCAGCTAACTTCAGAACTTATAATACAATTAGACCACTAGATGGCAATCTTTGATTATGTATAACTGGAAGTTCCTGTTTGCTCCTTGACTTGATGTTTCATCATTTTCTTAAATCAAGCTTTTGGCAGTTAGTTTTACCATAACTTTTTACAAAACACTTTTTAAAAATAGTTCATTAAATATTCAGAGCAATATGCATTAATCGAAAAATCTTTTGCTCACATGGAACCTTCTCTCTAAAGAATCATTAATGTTTAACAAATATATACCAAGGAACAGGGGCTTCCATCCAAAATATTACCCTGTTCTTTACACAGTGCCCATGGGAAAGTGGAAGTTATGTTGAGGAGTCTCCCATTTGACTGCCAAACCAGTTGATATCTGACCTCAGGTCTGGTGTTTTTTCCACTCCATCAAACCTCAGAAATCTAAGAAACTATAATGTCATGCTTTAAACTCCTGTGGTTTCACACTGCATTGCCCCATGTGTTCCTGACCTCCTTCAAATTGATTATCTTTCTTTCCAATCTTGCCTTATCATAAAGGGCTTCCCAAGGCATTTCTGGTTTGTTGCAAGCTTGGCCTATACACACCTCTTATAATATGAAAGAAAACTGCATTCCTTCCTCTCCTAGTTAAACTCAAACTTTCTGTAGAGAAGCCAAGATTTTTTTTCATTTTTCTTGACTCAATTTAATAAAACCTTTTTTTGATCAGTATACTTAATCTTCTACTTTTAATACAATGCCTGTTCCTTGATCATGTGTAGGTTTTTCTTCAGCAAGCCCTGCACAAGGAACTTTCCTTTTGTCCCATTTCATTACTTTCCTTTGTATCAGAGAACATTTATCCCGTAGCATTTTGATTAGAAGTCGTGCCCCCTAAAAATCACTTTCCTAATAAAATGGAAACACAATTTTTCTATAGCAACATGAATGTATGTACATATACAATGCATTTTGAACAGTATGTTTTGGGACAGATACCTTATTTTGCCATTTCAAGTAAGATAAGAAAGGTCACATTCATGGACTACAGCTGTAGATATTCAAAACATAGATTGAAATCCCCTACAATATATAGTTAGAGAAATATGAGAAATGTAGACATAGTGCTTGCCCTGATAGAACAAGTTGAAAAAGCCAAAAGATCAAGTGGACTAACTATTGAAGAAAAGCCACTGAGTTTGGTCAGGAAGAGATAATTAATGATCTCTGAAAAATAACTTGAGAGAAATACTAAGGTATGAAGCTAAACTTTTTAGAAGGGCTGAGAAGGAATGGTTCAGGAGAATATGAGTAGAAAAAGAACTCGGCCATGTCTTCATAAACAAATGGTAGGGAGATGGGCTGATGAATGGACAGGGTACTTTTTTTCAGTCTAAGGGACACTTAAAGATGTTAAAATCATCAGGTGACAAAGTGAATGAAACTAAAACTTTCAAAAATTAAAGATGTTTGAGGGAGCCTCCAGGGAGGTATGAAAGAAGAGAAACTTCAGCCTGGGGAAGACACTGGCTTTATGAAGAGTCAAGAAATAATTTTTAGATTCATACATGCTGTCCCAGCATCCACCACTCATCTATGATTTGAACACAATCAAGTGCACCTTGTGTGTTATAAGCTAGACAATAGATCCCAGCTGACTGGATTTTTTTGTGTTCTATTCCACAGGAGAGAGACAGCTCCCATAGTGGAAGGAGTGTGGTCATTTAGTCACCTGGCACAGCACTACTTCTTTGGCTACTTCTCAGCTCCGCAAGTCATCAGCATCACCTAGATGTCCAGCTGACTTGGGACGGACTCTACCAATCCGTTTCTAACAGTTCTGGCTTAGGTTCTGAGAATAAAACAGAAGAATATTAAAAACATGAGTTTGAGGGGTGCCTGAGTGGCTCAGTCAGTTGAGCGTCTGACTTCGGCCCAGGTCATGATCTCACGGCTTCTGTGTTCTAGCCCCGTGTTGGGCTCTGTGCTGATAGCTCAGAGCCTGGAGCCTGCTTCGGATTCTGTGTCTGCCTCTCTCTCTGTACCCCTCCCCTTCTCATGCTCTGTCTCTTTCTGTCTCTCAAAAATAAATAAACATTAAAAAACCTGTTTAAAAAACAAGAGTTTGAGGAATTCATGACTATAGTGTTAGCTTTGGCTCACACTCTGCACATTTAGAGTACCTGACATGTAATGGACACTAACTGGGATGTGATCCCTCAGAAACTTAGTAGCTGGAGTCTTCAGCTAGGTTACACACTCAGAACCGTGGCCATTTTCACAGAACTCAGGAATCTTGAAGAAGAAATCAAACATGTTTCAGGTGCAGGAAATTTATTGAATAGTATGTGAGAAATTTCCATGGGAACTTATCTCTATCTCTATAGCATACCTCCATATTAGGAGTACACTTTGCTGCACCTATGTCCATTCCTGAGTGCTCTTGAGGGTCAAGTCAGAGATAGCATGGGAAATACTCCAGCAGCGTGTTCTCTCATGGGTTATTTATGCAAGTGTCGAAAATCACAAGAGGCAATTTTGCACCAAACTTGTTCCTGTCCCTTGTTTTCATTTTGCTCTTTTTTTTTTTTTTTTTTTTTTTTTTTTTTTTTTTTTTTTGCTTATATCTAATTTATATATTCTTACATATTATGTATCCATTAAAATCACTTTGAATGCTTCTTGGGGACAACACAGTATATAAATAAATTAGAAACAAAATGTACTGACCTAAGGATTCTGCCCCAAATAAATACCTACTTTGATGTACTTGACTGAATTGAGTTTTCTTCCCAACTAAAGCTCAGAGTAGAGCCAAGCCAACTTGGATAGTTTTGGAGTCACCTTTCTCTTGGCACCACTGAGCCTTGCAGATTTGAGATTTCCCAAGCAGAAGCATCCAGGTAGGTTTTGCCACTCCAAGAACCCCAGGAGGAGTGGGCTATGCCCTCCCTATAATAAGCTGTACTACTCCCTCCCATTTTCTCCAGCCCCTTTGGTGGTTTCATGAACCCATTTGTGCTTGATGTAGACACCCTCCTTGAGCAGGGAAGGAGGTGGTCTGAAAGGAGGGGTGTGTCTGTGTTCCTCAACAGTATCTTTATGTGTATGACCTTAAGCTCAGTTTAGATCCTGTTGTGTTGACACATCCATTTTTCCCCCAATCTCATTAATTACATCTAGAGAAAATAGGTTAAATGCCTGTGTTGGACAAAGGTTTCTTTGGGATTTTTGATGTCTGTAATGTAACTGGATCTAAAATAGCAAAACAGAAAAAGAAATTAACAGTTTAAGACATAAAATTCAGGGGTGCCTGGGTGGCCCAGTTGGTTGAGCATCTGACTTCAGCTCAGGTCATGGTCTCCCACGTAGCAGGTTTGAGCCCCATGTCAGTTTCCATGCTGTCAGATCTTCTGAACCCCCTTCTTCTGAGCATCCAACTTTGGCTCAGGTCATGATATCACAGTTCGTGAGTTCAAGCCCTGTGTCAGGCTCTGTGCTGACAGCTCGGAACCTGGAGCCTGCTTTGGATTCTGTGTCTCCTTCTCTCTCTGTCCTCCCCTGCTCACTCTCTTTCTGACTCTCAAAAATAAACATTTAAAAAAAATTTTTTTTATGAGGAAAGGTGTCATTTCAGTAACCGAAGTTTGTGTGTGTGTGTCCTGAGATAATGTCCACACGGAACTGCCTCTGCAACAGGGCTAAACTGGCCATATCTCCCCATGGAATAACTTGATGCCCCTGGATCAAACCAATTTTGGACTGCCCAAGTTACAACTTTCTGTTCTGGATAATTCAGATCCTCATCAAAGTCTCCTCTCACATGAGCATAATCAGCAGTCTTGAAGATAGTCATAACTCTCTTTGGTGCAAAGGTTTCCAGTACACAGAACGTGCTGAACCTTTCCTGGCACCAGCAGTTTTTTTAATTTAGCTGGCAGTATGTTGTACCAGTGTGTGATGTCTCTTAATACTAACACCAACATCTTGTCACTGGGCTGTGCTCAGTCACCACAACTGCTACCTCAGGAAATTGGATTTTTAATTAAAAGCTCTCTGAAATGAAATCTCAATGCAGGCCAGATAGTCTCACTGGAGAAAAATAGCAAACCTTTAAAAGTATAATTAACACTAAGTTTGTACAGTGTCTTCCAGAAAATAGAAAGGAGGAAATACTCCCAACTCATTTAAGGAGACCAGTGCAAAGCCACTGCAAAAGTCATTACAAAAAAAGAAAACCACAAAAAAAATCTCTTCTGAACTTATATGCAAAAATCATTAACAGACTATTACCAAATATTTTAATACTTAAAAATAATTATACACCATGAATAAATGGGATTTGGCCCATATATGCAAGACTGGTTAGCAGCATAGTAAAAATAATCTTGAAAAACAAAATTGGAGAACTTATACCTTCCAATTTTAAAATGTACTATTGGAGCACCTGGGTGGCTCAGTTGGTTAAGCTTCCAACTCTTGATTTTGGCTTAGGTCATGATCTTATGGTTCATGAATTCAAGCTCTGCATTGTGGAGCCCACCTGGGATTCTCTTTCTGTCCCTCCCCTGCTCATTCTCTCTCTCAAAATAAATAAATACACTTTAAAATAAATAAATAAATAAATAGTACTATACAGCTACTGTAATTAAGAGAGTGTGGTACAAACATAAGAATAGGCCTATTGGTCAGTGGAACAGAATTGAGAGTCCAGAAATAAATCCTTATATTTATGGTAGACTGATTTTTTACAAAACTGTTCAGGCAATTTGGTGAGGGAGGGAATGTCTTTTTTGCAAATGGGGCTAGGTCATTTGGATGGCCACATGTAAAAAAATATATTTAGACCCTTACTTCATATGTACACAAATAATTGAAAATGGATAATAGTTCTCTTTTTTTAACTTTTTTATTTTTTTTTTAATTTACATCCAAATTAGTTAGCATATAGTGCAATAAGGATTTCAGGAGTAGATTCCTTAGTGCCCCTTACCCATTTAGCCCATCCCCCCTCCCACAACCCCTCCAGTAACCCTCAGTTTGTTCTCCGTATTTATGAGTCTCTTCTGTTTTGTCTCCCTCCCTGTTATTATATTATTTTTGTTTCCCTTCCCTTATGTTCATCTGTTTTGTCCCTTAAAGTCCTCATATGAATGAAGTCATATGATTTTTTCTTTCTCTGACTGACTAATTTCACTCAGCATAATACCCTCCAGTTCCATCCACGTAGTTACAAATGGCAAGATTTCATTCTTTTTGATTGTTGAGTAATACTCCATTGTATATATATACCACATCTTCTTTATCCATTCAATGGATAATAGTTCTAAATGTAAGAGTTAAAGCTGTAAAACATTTAGAGAAAAATAAGAAAACCTTGTGTCCTTGGATTAGGTAAAGAGTTCTTAGATATAACACCAATAGCATAATCTTTAAAAGAAAAAAAATTGTAAATTGGATTTCATCAAAATTTAATACTTTTGCACTTCAAAAGGCACCCTTAAGGAAACAGAAATACAAACCACAAACTTAGAGAATTCATTCACAAATCTTTGATAAAAATACTTCTAACATTCATCTCTAAAGAAATCTTACAACTCAATAAGACAAACAACCAAATTTTTAAAAATAGGCAACATTCGAATAGAGATTTCACAATGGAAAACATAAAGATGGCTAATGAGTACATGAAAAGATGTCTCTATCATATCATTATCTTTAGGAAAATACAAATTAAAATTACAATGAGATACCACTTCACACCTGCTAGAATGAATATAATAAAAGAGACAACAAAAAGTGGTAGCATGGATGTAGAGAAATGGGGATCTTCATGGCTGCTAATGGAAATATGAAATGACTGTAGCTGCTTTGAAAGCCTTTTGACAATTAAAAAATATATATTGGACATAAATTTATCATACAACCCAGAAATTCCACTCCCTGGTATTGCCCAAGAGAAATAATACGTGGACATAAAAACTTGTAAAAGAATAGAAGCCTTATTTATAATAACTAAAAAAGTAGAAAAAAATCCAAATTTCCGTCAACTGGTGAACAGATGAACAAAATGCGGTATAGCCACCCATACAATGGGATTCTATTCAGTATAAAGAAAAACAAATTACTGATACATACTACAACATGGATGAACTTCAAAAACAATATGCTAAGTGAAAGAAGCCAGATACAAAAGACCACATAGCATATAATTCCATTCAAAGGAGACATGCAGGAAAGACAAATCTATAGAGACAGTAAGTAAATAAGTGCCTAGGAATGGGATTGGAACAGGAATTGACTGCAAATGGACAAGAGGTTTCTTTTTGTGGTGATGGAAATGTTCTAAAATTGCATTGTGGTGATAGTTGAACAGCTTTGTAAACTTACTAAAAATCAGGAATCTGTATGCTTATAATTGGTGAATTCTATGAAATGTACTACACCTTAACAAAAATCTTTAGTAGGTTGAACGTCATTCCAAAATGCGTTCTCTGATATATAATGAATGATAGAAATCCTTTTAAAATATGTTCATATGAATACTAGTTTTAATTTAAACAGTTTTTTGTGGGGCCCCTGGGTGGCTCAGTGGGTTAAGCGTCCGACTCTGGCTCAGGTCAGGTGCGGTGGTTGGTGAGTTTGAGCCCCATGTGGGGCTCCGTGCTGACAGCTCAGAGCCTGGAGCCTGTTTCAGATTCTTTGTCTCCCTCGCTCTCTGCCCCTCCCCCGCTCATGCTCTATCTCTCTCCGTCTCTCAAAAATAAATAAATGTTAAATAAATAAATAAATAGCTTTTTCTTTTCTAACAGGAAAAGGGAAATTGAAGCAAAATTGAAAGAATTGTTAAACTTCAAATATTTCACTTGAAGAGATTTTATTTTTGAAAAGACCTCTCTTGGATTATGAAAAAAGACAAAGGAAAA